CACCTGATAAGGCTTGTGCTGTCTTTAATCTGTTTCTGAAGTCTAGATTCACTATATCCGCATATACAATTACATTTTTCTTGTAATAATTATCTTCAGAATAAAAAGTATTTGAGTGTGAGGTTCAAGGTGAGATTGCTAGACTTATTATTATTATTTTTTTGTAGAATTCCATGTTTTCATCAAGCTCTGTCTTATAAAATGTCCTTCCATGTCTTTGTCTTCTTTTGCATCCTTATCTCATAAATACCTGTGAAGACCTAGGTTGACACTTTCTAATATTGACATTCTGCTATCTGGAGATTTTATCTATTCAATTATCCATGTCAAACAACCTGCACAATAATATAATTTAAAATCTGGAAGAGCAAGTCCACCTCTATCTTCTGAACCTTTTAACATTTTTTATTTTACTCTGTTTTCCTCCCTTTCCAAATAAATTTATTAACTGTCCTCTCCCAATCTTGAAAGTTTTTTTTTGTCTTGGATTGAAATTGATGCCATTTGAAATACAAGAATTGTCTTAGGTAATATATTCTTTGGTAATATATTTTAACAGCTGCAATTAATGGTTACCAGGAGAGTTTAATTTTTTTCCACCTTTCAAAATCTTTTCTCTCTCTCTCTCTGTAATTTGGTATAATTATTTTTAATTATTTTAAACATTGATGGATGATAGCTGGTTTTTGGAAGATGACTTCTACAATCTAATAATAGTGTATGAAGTTGCAAGATTACCTGTAATTATTTTATAATTTGTCTTGGCCCAAGGTGTTTCTCTATTTGAAAAATATTGGAAGAAAAAGGTATTTTGAGCAAAAATCTTATATATGAGGAAATCATCTGTTTATTTTAGTTGTTTATTTTAATCCTGGGTTTATCTATTTCCCCACTTCTGAGTCACATCTGAAACCAATTCTGTCTCAACTTCTTACCTTCCATTTGGTTAGCACTTCAGAAATGATAGTGGCAAACTAGTCTACAAGATTTAAAGGCATGATGCTATACATACACTTTACTTCAACTGAGTCAGTTGGTTGTGCTCACATGCCAAGCCAAGCAAAACCAAACTATGTTTGGGATAAATAGTTTAGTGTTAGAACACAGCAACTGTATGTCTTCAAGCAGGATTAATTTTTCTTGGTCATATGAGTTACCAGGACTAGCTATCAGTAACGGCTTCTTTGAATTCTTGTAATTTCATGCTTGTGATATCAGTGATAGAATTTAATCCCCTTATATTATGCTTTTGTTTCGCTTTCAGTTTTTCCAAGCACAAAGGTCTTCCCCAAAGGCTTTTGCTTCTGACATTATATATATTAACTTCATAATGAATGCTTATAATGTGCTGCATAGTATTATTTCATCAATTACAGGTAGTCCTCAATTTACGTCACAATTGAGCCCTAAATTTACGTTGCTATGTGACAAATTTGTTAAGTGAGTTTTGCCCCATTTTACAACTTTCCTTGCCACGTTTGCTAAATGTAGTTCTTAAATTAGTAACAGTTATTAAGTGAATCTGGTTTCCCATTGACTTTGCTTGTCAAAAGGTCGCAAAAGGAGATCACATGATTCCAGGACACTGCAATCCTCATAGGTATGAACCAATCGCCATGTAAACCACGTGACTATGGGGATGCTGCAAAGATCATAAGTGTGAGAAATGGCCATAAGTCACTTTTTCAGTGCCATTGTAACTTTGAACTGTCACTAAATGACCTGTTGTAAGTTGAGGCCTACCTATTTCATTATTATTATTTGTTCTTGCTGTCCAAAATATTCTCCTTGCATTTCTTCAGCATCTCAATTCAGAGGCATCAACTTTCCTTCATTCAGCCATTCTGATAGTCACCTTGCACAGCCAATGGTCATTAAGAGAAAAACCAGGGCCTTAATGATACCTACCTTTTTTTTGGCAATGTGATATATCTCTATTGTTTAATATTTTGTCTAAATTTGCCATAATCTTTTTCTCAAGAAGCAGAATCACCTTTTCCATGGTTATTGACCAGTGGTAGGTTTCAATTTTTTTTACTATCGGTTCTGTGGGTATGGCTTGGTGGGCAGGGCATGGTTTGGGCATGGCTTGGTGGGCGTGGCAGGGGAAGGATACTGCAAAATTCCCATTTCCGCCAGATCAGCTGGGAGGCAGAAAATAGATGGGGGCGGGGCCAGTCAGAGGTGGTATTTACCAGTTCTCCAAACTACTCAAAATTTCCGCTACCGGTTCTCCAGAACTGATCAGAACCTATTGAAACCCACCTTGTGTTATTGACCAATCTTATTGAAGTTTGAGCCCCAAAAGATTAAGTCTATTTCTACATCCTCTTTTGTTCACTTATTTGATTTGTCCTAACAGCTGACATAGATATAATTTATCTATGTCTATTTTTTCCTTTTTATCATCCTGTAGTCCCTTCATTTGGGATAGAGTCAGGGTGACTGAATGGAGCTGAGTATTTATTGGCCAAATGTCCTTGCTGATGCCCATGTAATGTACATCGACATATCCAAATCTTCTATATGTCATCTATATTATATATATATTAATATATAGGTATGTGTTTGTGCATGAATCTGCATTATTATTGTTTGTCTTCCAACAAAAATTCCTTAATTTTTTTTTACTAGCATATCTGAGATTGTTAATATCTTTTTTCAGCTTTAATTGTAGCTTCTGTTTCCTCTAGTTTAGCATTTCTCATGGCCTGTTCTGCATATCAAAGCAATTTCTCAACAATATGAAAGATGTTTCACATTGCTGAATATGTAAACATTTAATTACTTCAAATTACATTTAAAGATCTTTTGGTAATTATTCTGATTAGATTTCTGTGGAAAATTCAGAGACAAGCCATGAAAAAGAAATTGATCTGATACTGTGAATAAAGGAAATGATTTAAAGGGTTTTCTATTCAAAAAGAATTATTAAATATAATTTTTTTCTTGCTTCAACAAGTTCAAATGGCCAACCTCACAGGGGGCCATGGAAGTGGCTTTAATGATTGTGTAACCAACAACAGATAAACATTCCTGTTTATGATAAATTTAGTACTTCTAGTGAGTGATTTTCCTCTTATACTAAATTAATGACATGCTAAAATATTGTTTAGAACAAGATTTGTGAATACATTGAATAAAGCAACATTTTCATTAATATTTTTTGATGTTTTCCAGCTGAAAGAGTGTGAGTGTGTAGAAGTTCCATGAGCAATTTTCTTGAAGAAGTTCAACATTTAGAGTGCAATCATATTCACACTTACTGATGATTAATTCCCACTAAACACATAGGGAAGTATTTTTGAATTAATCAGCCTAATATTCTCCATTCTCTATGAAATGGCTGATTACTATAACAGATAGGGCAATGTACTCCATATTTACTCAGAAATATGCCCCCAATATGTTTAATGATTCTTACATGTGACAGCTGCATTTAGGATTACAGCAATTGTGAAGTCCCAAGCATAATTATTGGAATGAGTTCTTAAATTCTATGACTACTAATCAGAGACAGTTCCATTATTATGACTGTGGACTCTTTCCTATTCCTGAAGAAGTTGGACTTCTGCTGTTTGCTGTTTCATCCCTTTCTCTTACTCACCCTTATTGTCACTGGGGCAAGGAAGTATTATGTATTTCTGTAATAATTAGCTTGGAGGGATTCAATTTCTATACCTACTGTTTATTGAAAAAGTTCAACTTGGTATCAACTCTTGCAACCACATAGAGTTGGCCTTAAATTGTGCCAATCTTCTGGAGATGTTGGATGCCCAGTTTTGTCAGATACCTGAGCTGAGTATGATATTGTGATTCTGAAAAAGTGGATAGGCCATTGAGATTCTGAGTTCTGCCACCTGTGTGTTAGGCAAATGCTCCTCCCCCCCGGGGGGTTTTCAAGACCGCCCAGTAAATCCCATACAGAGGAGTCCAAGCAGTGGTAAATGCTTATTTGACTTTGAAGGAAATGGGGTTTGCTCCCTCCTCAAGAGGCATTCCTTGACCCAACAGTACTAGACAATTTCTGTCCAGTCTCTAACATTGTTTTCTTGGGAATGCTGTTGAGAATACAGTAGGCTTGTAGCCCCAAATGACTCTGGAGGATGTGGATAACTGGGATCTGTTGCAATCAGGTTTCAGAGCAGGATATAATACTGAAATGGGACTAATTTTGCTCAAGGATAATGTCCAGTGGGCTCAGGATGGATATAGTATATGGTTCTCCTTGATAGCTTTTGAAATAATTGATTACAGTATCTTTTTGGATCAGCTGAATGGGTTGGTAGTCTGATAGCTGATCCAAGTTAAACCTATGTATATATACTTTTAGTATATACTACAATAATTTGGCCCTTGAAGTCAAACTAATGCCATATCCTAATTACCAAAGAAAAAGGTTAGTTGGTCTACCAAAACAAGTTGGGTTTTGATGGACAAAACAACTATTGTTCAAAATAAAATCTCAATTTAAATACTATTTATATACTACATAACATAATACCGTAAGGCAGGGGTGTCAAACTCACATCGTCACGGCAGCATTGTGTGATGTATCGTGACTTTTTCCCTCCTTGCTAAACCGGATTTGGTTTAGATTTGGCTCCCATGTTAGATTTATTGTGTGCGTCCAAAGGAAAGCATGCAATCTTTTAAATGGCTCTGCTAAACCAAGAGGAAATGATCATAGGGATTAGTAGTATTAAGCCACTCCGGTGGCCATCTGTGGGGTTTTTCCTTAAACCTCTTCTTTGCATTTTCCAGCAAATGGAAAATTAATTCATATTCAGTAATACTTTGCACCAGGTTCCATCCAAAATGGTATTAAGTCATATTTGAATCAAAAGAAAATGTTATCTTGTTGTGTGTCCCAATATTCACTATAGGTATCTTGTTTTTATTTATGTATTATCACATGGATGTCAGTGAATGTATGCCTGTTATATAACTCAAGAAGTCCTTGACATATTTTAGGTTTAGTCATGTTTAGAAATATTTGCTTAAGCCTCTTATCCTAGAAGAGAGAAGAGGTAGCTTGGCAACCTATCGTGCATGTTAATACATAATCATCCAAACTAAGCTTTGCTTTTTTTTTTTAACTGTTGCTTTAACTTGAGATGAATGTAAGTGAAAATTCAAAGGACAAAATATTTGCTGCCTGAGATGAAGAGCAGAAAATGAATGCCTGTCCTGGGACTGTTGAGGAAACTCTGCTATTTGAAAGAATTGAAAATAAAGGGGAAGTGCCTAGCTCTTATCAGAATGTGATTGACCAGAGAATCGCACTCAAGAACTGTCTCTATCTGATCTAAGAACACCTAGACAAGATGCTGTCTTACACTGATTTCAGCCTGGTCAGGCAAAAAAATCTAGGATGCCCTGGATGTATAAATAGGTATGTATAAATGGGTTGACACTCAGTATTCGGATCTAAGGTAGGGGAAAATGGCCCCCTTGCCTTTCCTGACACAGTTTTATACCTGTGAGGTTCAGAACACAGGAAGTAAAGGAAGTAGGGGCTGGTTTTTCCTGTTTATTTCTTGAATAGGTAGACAAACTATTTCTTAGCAAAGGTTGAATGATACTTAAAGAAATGAAATTTATTGAACATCACAGAAAAACCGAAACAACTAATGAATAAATAGATCTATAACAATAAAGAAAGCTTTTGAAGCTATACTAAATGCCAAAATAAGGTAACTGTCTGGACCAGATGGTTTACCAGCTTCTTATTATAAACATTTTGAAGGCAAACTACAATTTTTGCTAGACATAATGAATTGTATTTTATCGACTGAAAAGATATCAAACAGTTGGACAGAGGCTAATACATTTATATCTAAAGAAGGTTAAGATTACTGCCTGATATCATTACTGAATAATGATTGTAAATTATTTACCAGGGTTTTAGCTGAGAGACTGAAGATGGTTCTATTGGACTTTATTCATGAAGATCAGTGTGGGTTTTTACCTAAAAGACAGCTAAAGGATAATATTAGAAATATGTTCAGAACATTCCATACATGGAACAATATAATGTAAAAATGAGCATTGGTTTTTCTTGATGCAGAAAGACCTTTGACAGATTGAACTGGACTTTCTTGTTTAAAATTTTGGAGGATATGGACTTTGATGAGAATTTTAACAAATGGGTAAAATCAATTTACACTTCACAAAGACACAGATAATTGGGAATGGGGAATTACCAAAAGCTTGTGAGATACACAAAGGGACTAGACAAAGACCTCCCTTGTAACCATTCCTATTTATTTCCGCTGTGGAAGTATTGAATAGAAATATAAGATGAGATGATAGAATTTCACTATTTTTTTCTTTTATGTCTTTTACTTTGTTAAAAAATGTCTTCACTAAAATACATAAAAATAGATAAACTACATTGCATAGATTTTTAGCATTACTCATTCATTTATTAATCACATCCTTAGGATATATTTTTTTTAATTTTCTGAAAGAAAAATGGAAATAGAAAAATTTACTCTGTGAAAGAACAGAAATTCTGCCAAAGATAAACATCATTAATTGTTTCTACTTAAATTAAAAGCTTTCAGAAGTTCTAGTAGATATAGATAATTTTCTTGATAATTCTAAACACTGGCCCAATCCAACTGGCATTTTCTATACCAAATGAAAGTCACTACTGGCCAGTATTTTATTCCATTTTTTGCTTTACACCAGGGGTGAAATCCAGCAGGTTCTGACAGGTTCTGGAGAACTGGTAGTGAAAATTTTGAGCAGTTCGGAGAACCAGCAGCAGAAATATTGAGTAGTTCGGAGAACTGGCAAATACCACCTCTGGCTGGCCCCAGAGTGGGGTGGGAATGGAGATTTTGCAATATACTTCCCCTGGAGTGGGGTGGGAATGGAGATCTTGCAGTATCTTTCCCTGCCATGCCCACCAAGCCACACCCACCAAGCCACGCCCACAGAACCGGCAGTAAAAAAAATGGATTTCACTACTGCCTTACACAGTATAGATCACAGAGAGTACCAGATTTCTTTAGGATACATTTCATCTTTGGAATAAAACGGATGAAAATAATTTCCCCATAAATATAGATTTGTTTTGCAGTGCTGGTAATGTAGTTCAAAAGCCATATCATTACACCTGTCAGCCTTTTGCAGCTTAACTTAATGAGTAGTGAATTCTGAATTATATATTTTGCAGGATAGTCAACTGCGAGATGACTGACATGGTTATGCATCATGATTGCCTTGAATGCAAGTGCTCAGAAAGGAAATGAAGCATATCATGAATATGATTTATAGAACGCTAAAGAGACAAAAGACCAAATGTTGTCACTATCAAGGCCAATAAGGGGATGGAGGCCACCAAAGTGTTTTAGAAAAAAAATGGTCTGATGAGTGTCAGAAGACAGGTGGTTTTTTTTAAAAAATCAATGAATATTGTTGTTGGATCTCTAAATCTGATAACCGCTGTTCAGTCAGAAGACTCCCCGAGGGCTTTGCAATAAAATAAAAACTACAATGAAATCAATGCAATGAAATCAATGCAATACTGCAAAACAGATCAATCATAATAAAGCCTGCAATATAGCAACAATTAAAATTGGTTTAAGACACAGAATATTAAAAGCCCGAAAGAACAGGAAATGTGTATGCTTGTCTAGTGCTTAAAAGGTATCAAAGGAGATGTATTTAAATAGCCCAGCATTTAATGGCTGGAAATGGAGACTGAAATCTAATGATTCACAGAAAGCAGAAACCCATGGTACTGGGAATCCTGTAGCTGAGGGATTTAGAGGGCTGTTACCAAGACAAATACACCAAAAGTTTTCCATCTACTAAAAGAAGTCACAATGAATTTAATCAGTGCTGTCACAGAACATGAAAGAACCTAATTTGACCAGTGGTGAAATCCAAATTTTTTTTACTGCCAGTTCTGTGGGCGTGGCTTGGTGGGGGTGGTGTGGCTTGATGTGGTGTGGCAGGGGAAGGATACTGCAAAATCTCCATTCCCACCCAACTCCAGGGGAAAGATATTGCAAAATATCCATTCCCACCCAACTCCAGGGGAAAGATATTGCAAAATCTCCACTCCTTCATCACTCTGGGGCCATCCAGAAGTGGTATTTGTCGGTTCTCCGAACTCAAAATTTCCACTACCAGTCCTCCAGAACCTGTCAGAACCTGCTGGATTTCAACCTTGAATTTGACCCAATTCTTCATATACACATGCACATCTTGGCATAGAAATTTGTTGATGATCACTTAGGATCACTTTTATGACTTGTGGACTTCAGCTCACAGAATTCTGGGCGTTGAACTGCTCAAGTCATAGTGGGGCCATCGTTCCCCACCCCGACTTAAGAAATAGGCAAGATATGACCCTTTTCTCATTTTAATCACTACTTTTCATGGCAAAGTTATTTACTACTTTATGTTGCCATATCTATCATTACTGCAGCTAAGACAGTAGTGCAACCTTGCAACAACTTTCAAGGGCCTGCAGTCCAGGGATCTTTTAGAGTGGCAGGTGATAGAACAACAGCAAACAAATTCAGTGATAGCATTTGAGCCAGTAGGAGTACGAAACAAATAACCAGATTTCACCATAATATCATCTCTTCAGGTTTAACATAAACACCTGAGCCCAATTACAGATAATTCTTTCATTATTTTATTATTCCAAATACAAAAATGATGCTTATGTTCCTTCTTTAGCTTCCAGATAGCAGAAAGCAACCCCTTTTTATACTAATTTTTAAAAATGCATTTATAAGTGAAAGTGCACATATTTGGAATCTTTGTTATTTTTATTCCCTTTATTCCACCCAGCCCAATTTCAAGAATGCAGAGTGGCTGTAGAATAAAGAATCGAAGAAGGGAAGAGGAGAGATAAATGATAATTACATGCATCACAACTGAAATAGCACCCATGGGCATCTAAATAGGACGGTGATGGTAGTGCATAAAACCATTCAGGCCAAAGTGTTAAATTAACTAGCTCTATTGTTTGCGATCCACACATTTAGAAGCTCTTCATAGAAATAACACTTTGTGGTTGACCTTTTAAAACAACCTCCAATAAAATCCAAACGACTCGTTTGCTTTCTGAATTTATTTATCTCAGTTTATCCACTTATAACCTCTTATTAAAAAAAAAAGCAAAATATTGAGAAGGGTACTTTTTGCAAAAAGCATTGAAATGTTGGATGTTAGGAAATAATATATTGTGATGCAAAGTAACTTTTAGATTAAAAAGAAAAAGAAAGAAAAAATCCCTACTGGATCAGAAAAAGAATCTTTCCGAATCTTGTTTTCCCTGTGGCTCAGAGATGCTTATAGGAAACTAGAAAGCAGGAAAAAATTCTCCATCTGCTCCACTGACCCCAGCAATAATGGCCAGATGTTTTTGCAAGAACCACAAAATATAGGGAAATGGGGGAAAATATAGTTACCCAACAATGCTTGTTGAAGCTTTGTTCACTGTTTTCCTCACTTTCTGGTAACCAAAGGTGTACCTATGAACGGGGAACCCCATTTAGTAATTGCAGCTAATAACTGTTGACAAGCTTAAACTCCTCTGTGAATTTCTATAATCAGTTTTTAAAAGCTATCTCAGCCAGTGGTTGTCATCACTACATCTTGTAGGAGTCATTTCCACAAACTAATTAGATTTTAGAAGAAGTTGTTTCTTCTGTCTCCTGAAAATCGGTTTCACTGGAAGATCCTGATTTTTATTATTATGAAGAAAAAGAGTCAGTGAAAGAGTGTATCTCCTTAATCCTGTCTCCTATACTGATAATTTTACAAGTCTTCTATTATTTCATCATGTCATAATTATTTTCGTTCTAAACCGAAAACCCCCAAATACCGGTATATACCAAATCTGAGTAAGGGTACGGCTAGCTGATGAAAGCTAAAAAGCTTGAAATAGATCTATACTACTCTCCCTTTATTTCTTTATCAGCAAAATATAAATTTGGTATAAAATGGTTTGTCGTGAATGCGACTGCTTGAGGGCTCCTGGATTGGAGCTGAAAGGCGAAAAGGAGCAGAATGCCCCCTCCCACATGTTGGGGTAAACCAGATGTCTCGATAGAAAAACACTTAATCTTTCCCCTGGCTCAAGCTGATGAAGGGAGGAGAATTTGTGGCTCAGAAGGTTAATTCAACTGCCTAACATGCAGGAAGCCAAAGTTTGAATCTGAGTAAGGGTATGGCTAGCTGATGAAAGCTAAAAAGCTTGAAATAGATCTATACTAGTCTCCCTTTATTTCTTTATCAGCAAAATATAAATTTGCATCTGTATATATATTCTAACTTTATTCTAACTTTAAAACCATATTTCTATCAGTTCTTCATTTAAAATCTGTTTTTTCCTTATTACAGGTATATGAAACAAAAGAAGGTTGGAAAATATTGCTTCTTCTTGACCAAGAGCAAGAATTGCTTCTAATTAGCACTAATAATCAGGCTGGGCAAACACAACAAAATTATATCCTGTTTTCATTTGTAAAAATGCTACTTCTCCATACTAGTCTAATATTTTGTAGTGGAATAGTGAAATATTAAACTTCTATTAATTTCATTTCATTATTTCATTATTTTATTTTAATTTATGTTTTGCTATAAACGAATACTCTAGGCTTCAGCTGACTAACTAAAAATTTATCTTAATGGAACTGAAGCCCAATACCAAGCTTTTACGAACTTATACAATCACATAAAATAACATAGACAGAGGGATAGTAATATAAAAGCAGAACTGTATGAGCTAAAGCAATCATCCTGGAATTAGCAGTAATGAAAAGCATGATCAAGACCTCAGGTATTAAAATAACAGCATCTTAAAAGACCCAGGAGACTGAAAAGAAGAAATGAAATCTCACATGATGGTGCCATTATAACAATATGGATACCAAGTGAGTTTTTCTAGACAAGGACCTTCTTTCCCAAAAATTTTTTCATATGTAGACGATCCCCAAACTTCAGTCTGAGAGAGCACAGAGAACAATGCTGACTGGAAATTTGGGGGGGGGCGCTTATTTTGTACTTATTTATTTTGTTCATTCCAACATTCAAGGCGATTTACAATAAAAAATAGAGTATAAATGTTTTAAAAATATATAGAGTGATGCAGTGGTGGGTTCCTCCCGGTTCAGCCCGGTTCTCCTGAGCCGGTAGTGGTGACGATATGACGTCACTGAAATGGTTCTGCCCCCCTGCCCCCACACCCCCACATTATTCTTACCTTTTATTTGGTCCCACCCCCAATCTATTGCTGCCTCCTGAGTCCCAGCTGATGGCTAGAGGGAAAAAAACTGTTTAAACTCTTGCAATGGGGCTTCAAAGGGCCGCCCTACAGCTGATCAGTGTTAAAAGAAAACAAATGAGTAGACCGGTGCCTGCAAAAATACATGAGTGCATCAGTGCCTGCAAAAATACATGAGTAGATCAGTGCCTGCAAAAAATAAATGGGTAGATCGGTACAGCTCTGCAAGCAGTTAAAGGCCTGGTAGACCAGTACCTCTGCTAAATCCTAAATAATTGTCACATGACCATCAAGCCACGCCCACAAAATAAGCCATGCCCACAGAACCGGTAGTAAAAAAATTTAGAACCCACCCCTGGAGTGATGATTTCTTAAACTATATTTTAACCTGCCTTTATTATTTATTTACGTGTTAAACTTTACTGTCGCCCATCTCACTGGTGAGTCTAAATGGCTTACAGTCACTCAGTAAGTATCCTGTTTTTCTGAAAATAAGACATCCCCTGATAATAAGCCCAATCGGGCTTTTGAGCGCATGTGCTAAAATAAGTCCCCCACCAAAATAAGTCCTCCCCAAAAATATTTAAATGCATGTGCAGCCAGTCCCCGCCATTTCTTCTGGTTAGGGTTAGGGAGACAGAGCTGGAAATCAGGTAAGACGGCAAGAGGAGCCCCATCTTGCTCAACGTCCCCCAAAATAATAAGACCTCCCCGAAAATAAGGCCAAGCGCTTATTTCGGGGTTCAAAAAAATATAAGACAGGGTCTTATTTTCAGGGAAACATGGTATATCATATAAAACATTAAAACAATGAAGACCATAAATTCAAAAATCAGTTAAAATTGAATGGACCAAGATGGAGAGGAAGGAAATAAAGTGTGCACAGGGAGGAGGTGGGGTCTGTTAGTCCATTAACCATCACCAGGATGCTACTCCCTTATTGGGGAGCCAGGCCAATTGGCACAGCCAAATCTTCATGCCCTTTCAGAAGGCCAAAAGGAGGATCTCACCTTGGGGGTACAATGTTTTAGAGCAGGGATGTAAAACTCAAGGTTTGGGGGCCAATCTGGCCCACAGGGTACTTAGATCTGGCCCTGGGGCCACCCTGGAAACAGTGAAGGACTGGCCTGCAGTGCTTCTGCCAGTGATAACGGAGCTCGGGAGCGCCACATTTTCACTGGCAGAGGGTAGCAGGAGGCCGTAGCAGCAGAAAACAGAGTTTGGGAGCCCTTTTTCACTGACAGAGCACTCAAGCTACCACAGGTGCCCCTGACATGAGTGATGTTGAGCTGGACACGCCCACCCTGGCCACACCCACCCTGGCCCCCGGAGGTCAAACAACCCTGATGTGACCCTCAATGAAATTGAGTTTGACACCCCTGTTTTAGGGGATGAGCACCATGGCAGAAAAGGTTCTTCTCCTGGACCCCACCAACAAAACTTCCTTGACTGATGGGGGTCCATTGCATGCCTCTTCTGGTATGGGGGGGGCAGACTGATCCCATTAGGGTGAGATGGTTTCTCAGATAACCTGGACCCATATCATGAAGGGCTTTAAAAGTGATAATCAACACTTTGAATTGAACTTGGAAGCAACCTGGCAACCTGTGCAGCTTGCAGGACAGCAGTGTTCCCAGGCTACCCTGGGAACTCCAAGAACTGCCCACATGTTTGTGTTCTTACCAGCTGATGTTCCTTCAAGGGAAGCTCCATGTAGAGTGCTTCGTAAGAGTATAAATAACTCAAGGCAGTGGGCATACCTAATAGTCCTTCTTCCTCCTATTTTTCCCACAACAATAACCTGCATAATGAGTTAAACTGAGAAAGAATGAGTGCCCCAAAGTCACCCAGCTGGCTTTCTTGGCTTAGGCAGGGTACAACTCTCAGTTTCCCGATTTCTAGCATGGTGCCTTAACTACTAGATGAAACTCGATTAAATCAAATCATTCAAAACCAAAATCAACAAAAACCAACATTAAGATAAACCCTTGACAGCCAATATAGGTTTGTTTTTACTATAGCCATCATATAATCCAGCGTTCTATAGCCTGGGTATTGCATTTTGCACCAACTGCAATTTTTAGACCCTTTTCAAGAGAAGTCATCATATAAAGCACACTGAAGTAGTCAGAAGTACTATAACAAGGCATTGATAAATGTTGCTAAGTTTAATTCAGAAAGGGTGGCAGTTTATTTACTTTTACTACTACAATGGCAAACATGCTCCCTGACATAGATGCCACTGAAACTTCAGTGAACATATTCCCAAAAATGAACTTTTGGGGAGAGTACAACCCTATCCAGAACAAGATTTACCTCAAATCCCTACATCCAACTTTCTCTTTATGAAGAGTATCTCCATATTCTGTCCATGCTAATTTCAGCTTGTTCTCCTTTATCCAGCCATTACTGAGGCAAGCATTTTCAAGAATACTGATTGCTCTTTAGAGCCTGAAAGAATGCAGCAGTAGAGCTGGCTTTCCATCACATACTGATGTTATCCTTCCGTGAAGCTGTCAGTGACCTCCTCAAATGGCTTCAGGTACAAGTAATCATTGTTTAACAACTGCCTCATTAAATGACTATTTGCAAATACAAGAGTAATAGTACAGGTAATCCTCTATGTACAACAGTTTGTTTAGTTTGAAGTTACAATGGCACTGAAAAAGTGACATGACCATTTTTCACACTTATGAGCATTACAGGTCTTTCTTTTTTTAAAAATTAGATTTTTATACCGCCCTTCTCCTACTGGACTCAGGGCAGTGAACAGCCAAGAATAAAAACATCACATGCAAAATTTAAGATTAATTTTAAAAGAATTAAACAAGGTCATGTGATTTTGAGTAGTTCGGAGAACCGGTAGTAAAAATTCTGACTGGCCCCGCCCCATTTATTCTATGCCTTCCAAGTCCCAGCTGATCAAGAGGAAATGGGGATTTTGCAGTAACCTTCCCCTGGATTGGGGATGGAATGGAGATTTTACAGTATCCTTCCCCTGCCACGCCCACCAAGCCCTGCCATGCCCACCAAGCCACACCCACAGAACTGATAGTAAAATTTTTTGAAACCCACCACTGATCACAACCTATATTATGTGTGAAGATCTGAAATAATATGCTGATAATTTTGGTCCTATTAGTATTGTCTCTGCCTTATTCAGTGTATGAGGGGCCACCTTTGAGACAAACTCCGGAAACTTCAGTTGATGCAGAAAAATGCAGGAAATAAAAAAAGATTGAAATGATTATGCTCTTGATGAAAATTATCCACAGGGTGACTAAGGTTGTTATGGTGTTAAAATCATGCCTACATTCCAACTGAAATGGGTACTGAAGGTAATTTTTATTTATGAAATATAGTTCAGATTAACTATCATGTACTCAAGTACCTACCAATTTACAATTGCCAAAAGATTCTGAAGCCAAAGTAGGCTAGTTTTGTGGTTAATGATAAGCCATTGTCTTTTCCTTGAGAAATATAAAACATAATTAATTCAAAAGAAAACAAAAAAACAAAAATTCAAAGAACAGACTCAGTTTTCTATGTTTTTGTTATGTAGTCAGGTTCAATGAACAAACCAAAAAACCAACCAACCAACCAACAAATCACTGGCCAAATTCTAGCAAGCAGTTTCTCATCTTCACACAACATAAAATGAAAGTCATTCATTATATTGAATAATTTATAAATTTTAAAGAATCAGAAATTGTTCTGGATAGCTATATTGACAAGAAATGTATGAATACATGAGATAGATAGATAGATATACGTTATATGCATCCGTCTTGCCTCCAGACTGTATGTGACATCAAATAAGTTTAAAAACCTTATAAGAAAAAACTCAGTTCAAATCTTCAGTAGAAGCAGACAACACATTAATAATTCAGTATGGAAACTGCTAAGTGTAATTGATGCTACATCATAAATATATACCACTTGTCATCTGTAATATGGATGATCAAATAAGTGACTAATACCTAAAAATCAGATAGAATATTTTTCAAGCCACAGAAATCAATGGCACAATGTAAAGATGGAAGATTCTTCCAGAAACTAGTATCTAACTTTACTTTACAAATTGCATAGTTTCTCAGCTGCATACAATATTATTTATTTTTTTAAAAAAAACTTCCTTCCTGTTTCTTAGGCTGAAGGTTTAATAGTGAGAATATCATTGTCATAGAACATAACTTCTAAACCCATTCCCAGGTTCACTATGTCTATAATAAGGAAGAGAGTTTTAGTCAAACACATTACATGTTCTGATAGACTGCAGTTTTGGTGAATCTTCTAGTCAAATTTTGTTGCCCACCCCAGAATTCCCATTCGTCAAGAGATTGGGGAAATTGTGGTTTTAAATAATCTTAGGCATTATTTCAACTTCTGTTTAACTATTTTAGCTTCCATTTCATTTTGTGAAAAAAGATACATTGTATGATGCTGTATATATATTGTATGTATGTATATATTGTATGATTCAACTCATTGGGAATTATTGGCATATTTTTAAGGAACCAAATATTACTGGAAATATTTTAAAGACATAACAATGGCATTTGTACACTACGCTAAGTTTGATTAATTTAATCCTTATCCTGTTATCCAAAGGTAGACTAGTATATAGTGAGAGTCCAAAGATTTGAGTACTGTAATAGACAAGTTAAGCATGTTGTATGAAAACAATATCTGTTATCTGGAAATCTCCAGGGCAAATAACTTGGATACTTGAGATGATTTTTTTTAAAAAGTTGAATGTAAACTTTGCTATTATTTCTTGTTTTCATTTTTTCATTTCATTGTTTTCATTTCATTGTTTTCATTTGTAAACTCATTTAAGTCTTCAGAGACACAAGATGATAATAAATGAAATAAATAAATAATTACATTTGGAAAATAGCAACAGCACTACTGTATAAGCACTCAAAGAATTTGAACATTATGAATATAGAGTGAAGAATTCAACCCAACTCACCTCAGCCAATAAAATTATTAGCTGTCCAGTGTATAATAGAGAGAGAGAGAGACCAAATAAACAATTTAGGATACTTTCATTGGCAGTACAATCTTGAAATTTTTGACATTATGAAAACAATAGATTAGAACTTGTCCTAGACATTAGTTAACTATATTGGTTAACTACAATGTTAACTAACCCTTGCGAAGGGGTGTAACTGAGAAAAACACTCAGAAGATCCCTTACCATTGAGATTCCTGCTGCTATTGATCTCTTCGGATAGACTCCCACCCAAAACACGTTTGCTGAAATCAGGGCAAATCCTGTTTGAAGGACTGAATATTCAAGCACCTAAGCATTTTTTTTTCCTGGTACAGAATGATATTTAAACTACCTTGAAACAGGTCAATTTAATAAATAAAATTCCTACTTGTTCATGCAATTCGTTGGCATGCATTCACCAAAGCTAAATTCTGCAATACATTTATGTAAGCTTAAAGCCATAAACAGAAATGCCAAATTTAGGATTTTCCTGTTTTTGTGCAGTGCACTAATAGGTTAGCCAAGCCTAAAGGTTCAGACTAATAAGGTACATATCTGTCCACTCTAAAGTGAAAAGCTTATTGTTCCATTTTTGACACTGATTGGCTTTCGGTTTGCATTTCCTCTGTCAGTACTTGTATCCCAGAGAAAGTATTGCTGTTCATAATAAATATCTCCAATGACTTAAAATATACGATCTTGTTTTTCTCTCTCACACCAGCTTGTACTCTTCAAATTATCTAGAAAGCATGGTTTGTCGCTTCAAGATTATCCACATTTAGATGTTCAGTGTGTGGACTCAGAACAGATTGAATTTTTGGGGGGGTGGGGGGAGGGAGGGAGGGAAGGACTTTGTTTTTCCCCAAGGCAGGGCAACTTAGTCAATTTAACAGAGAGTATCTCATTATTCAGCAACTATAAATACTCTTTAGGCCTTCAAATAGCATGCATGCATGTGCCCTTACAGACAGATGTTCAGAATGGCCTACATTCTGCAATCAGGAAAAGGATTAATTCTGATAAGTAAGAGATTTATGAACATTTCAGAAAACGTGCAGGTATATATGCTTGCAAATTTCCTTAGATATAGATTAAAATGAAGAAAAACCAATCTCCAACCCTTAGAATTTCAGAGCTGAATAGTAATTGAATCTTTGGGGCTGGCTGACCCACTTCAATTATTTTTTAATCAGTTGTTCCAATACTATCCTGGGAAAACAAATATTTTGAAAAAGTAAGTTTTCCTTACTAAGAAAATCCTATAGCCTAAACCAGGGATGGGCAAATATGGCCCCTTTATGACCTGTGGACTTCAACTCCCAGAATTCCTGAGCCAGCTTGGCTGTCTCAGGAATTCTGGGAGTTGAAGTCCACAGGTTGTAAAAGGGCCACAGTTGCCCACCCCTGGCCTAGACCGCACGCTATTTTTATCCAATACAAAAGCAAAGTGCAGGTAGTTCTCAACTTATGACCACAATTGAGCCAAAAATTTACGTTGCTATGCGAAACATTTGTTAAGTCAGGTTTTTTTTCAATTTTATGACTTTTCTTGCCAGAGTTGTTAAGCAAATCATTGCAGTTGTTAAGTTAGTAACATGGTTGTTAAGTGAATCAGGCTTCTCTATTGACTTTGCTTGCCAAAAGGCCGCAAAAGGTGATCATGTGACCCCTGGACACTGCAACCATCATAAATATAGATAAAGAGCCTTGGTAGCACAGTGGACTAATGCACTGTTATTAACATCTGCTGCTTGCAATTACTGGAAGTTCAAATCCCACCAGGTTCAAGGTTGACTCAGCCTTCCATCCTTTCAAAGGTAGGTAAAATGAGGACCCAGATTGTGGGGGCAATAAGCTGACTTTGTATAAAAAATACAAAAGTATGAAGGCTATTGCTTAACGCATTGTAAACCTCCCTGAGTCTCCGGAGAAGGGCGGCATATAAATTAAAGCAATATATATATATATGAACGAGTTGACAAGCATCTGAATTTTGATCATGTGACCTGAGGGAAGCTGCAATGGTTGTAAGCGTAAAAAACAGTCGTTAAGTCACTTTTTTCACTGCTGTTGTAACTTTGAACAGTCACTAAATGAACAGTTGTAAGTCGAGGACTACCTGTATATGGAAGGCTCTTTGCCAACTCAGATCAGGTTTTTCATACCATTTGTTACTGTATCATTTACTTATTTTTAATCATATTTATGTGGCTGCCCATTTCATGCAATGTTACCACTGACAGGATACAGTAGTTTGTTGCCATGGAAAAAATAAATAAAGATAATAATTAAGAAAAACACACTGAATGCAGCATGTATTCCAAAAATACAATTCCCAAGTCTTGTCTTAAAACATGTTAAAACTGGAATAGAAACTTTATTCAATACTAAAGATATCCTAAATCTTTGTCAGAAATCTATCTCAGCAGATGCAAAAGATACTTCTGTTAATCATTTGGATGCATAAGGTAATTGGGCTATTGATCCCATCTAAGCCCATTCACTCTTAGACGTGCAATTAAATGAGCAACAAATGAAGCACA